TGTTTAGAATTTCTTTGTCCATGTAAATGGATGAACAGGTCAATCTTGTCTTCCATTACCCCATAGCCTAGCAGTGGTGCTATGTTGCCAAGTAGACCTGCACATGGGCTGGGCTTCCGGCTTGGTCCATGTTCCATTCTCAGGCTTCAGGCAAAGCCCACAAATTTTGGCAAAAGTTCAACCCGAGCCCAGGTGCCAAGGGGAGTAACTTGGAGTATGGGTCAAGGTTGGGCCAAAGTCCAGACCAATTGTGCAAGGAGTCCAAGTTATCAAGCACCATGATATTCAAGCCAAGGATTTCTAGATTGAGACTAGCATAATCTCAAGCTGTGTTTGACCTAGGCCCAGAAAATATTAAGCTTCTGGTTTATTTGATAAGATTATGCATGTGTGTTTGTGTGTTCATGCTTAGAAAAAGTTTGCCCTTAACTAGCTTAAATTCTATTTCAAGCTAAAAGATTGTAGCCCATAACAGGCCTATTTATGGATCTAGCCCATTGGATGTGGCTTTTCCTGTGGTAATAACACTGCCCACTGAAATATTAACAGGGAAGGGAAGACTGCCTTTTACTCATGTGGCTAGAAAATGGATGAATGGCAAAAACATAGATGCAGTTGAAGAACCATCTATCCATAATATTGAAAATTGAAATAAATATAATATGCATATCATCACTGAGATGGTTAATAAAAGAACCAGGAAAAAGATTAATTTAACATCAAAATGGGGGAAAAAGGAAGAAAAACAAGGAAAACCAAATGCTATAAAGAATCAGTCTCTTTTGGGTTTTCCTATATCTTTTTTAGCCACGTGGACAGATGATGTTTGGCCTATCCAAAACGTCCATTTGTCGAGGGAACATCTTAATTAAGTTGCCTATTTGGAGAAGATGGGCAAAACCCACACCAGTTAAGGCCTACATCAGTTTTAAATAGATTGGATCCAAATTGAACTCCCACCCAACCCAATTAAGGAGATAGAGGTTTGGTTTGTTTATTTAGGGGGTATTTGGTCTCTGGTTTTGTTTGTTTTTCATTTGATTCTGGTTTTAGGAGTGCAAATTGGGTCGGGTCGGGTTGGCAATTTTGTGAAAATTTCAATGGGCCGGAAGCCCAACAAGAGCTCCTTTGAATTTTAAAAATTGCTTAATACTAATATACTACCCAAGTTGCATCTCCGGTTCAAGTAGGAGAGTCTTTGTGATGGACACATGTTTGGACTTGGGTGAGCATTCTTAGCCCCAAACGGCCCAGACCGCAAATGTTTGGACTTGGGTGTACGTTGAGTCCAGACCTGACCCAAAAGTTTATGGGCCGAGTATTAACGTGGTAAGCCCATTATTCGAAAGTACTAAGCCCAGCCTGATCTAGTCTATATGATCGGTCGGTTTATTCCTCTTTCATCCACGTCGAGGACGACCCACGACCACGACCACGAGGAGAAGCCGAAAGGTAATTATCTTTGTCTCTGTATCGAGTCTGAATTGCTCCTCACAGAGCGCACCTCACTCGGGCCTCACAGACCCACCCCACCATGACTGGGAACATTTCAGTACTTCGTGTGAGGTGCTCTTTGGAAAGAGCAGACCCGATTCATATTGGAGAAGAATATCTAAGGTGGCATTTGATAAATCTTAAAATTAAGATCTGAAAATTTAAAAAGATATTAAATATGTCTGAAATCTGAAAAGAGGCATAGTTGTTTTTCTACTTTTTTGAGGATCGGAATCTATAAGTTTGTTTGTATTAGATCAATCCTTTACCATCCGAAATTTATTGATTTTACTATTTTACCCCTAAAACATACAATTTGAAAATGTTGAATTCAATTTACATTATCTCATAAAAAATAATTTTCAACCTCAAAATAATATTGAAACAATACAAATAAAAATAAATAAATTACTAATTACTAATTAATAAATGAAATGATTAAAATTAAAAAAATAATTAATGATTATAAAAATATTAAAATAATTAATAATTTACACAAATAAAAATTAAAATATTTTTTAAAAATTAATGAAGTAATTAAAAATTACTAGTTAATAAAAATTATTAATAATTAATAAATAGCACAAGTAAATTTAATAAAAAAATATTAAAATAATTTATAATTAATAATTAATAAAAGCATTATTATTTATTCACCGAACCACCACTACTGCTTGTTGCAGCGGTGGTGGCAAAAAGATAAGGGGAGAGAGAGCGCTGGTGGAGAGAGAGAAGACAACAACGGTGGCGGTGGTGGGAAGACAGGAGAGAGAGAGAGAGAGAGAGAGAGAGTCGCTGCAAGTTGCAGCGACAATGGTAGGAAGATCGGGTGCAGAGAGAGAGAGACCGAGATAGAGACAGAGAGACAGAGAGGTCAAATGTTTAGGTTTTCTAGGTTTGGGGGTATCAGGGGTAATTCGGGTCATTTACGAAAAATTATAAAGATATTTTGGACATTGGACTAGCTCTAAAATGCGTCTGAGCGTGTTAAGAGCTGGCCTAAGGTCTATGATTTTCAGATTTAAAAATCAGTTTCAAACCTAATTTAAGAGGTACAACCAAACAAAGGGTGAGGTCTGAAAAATAGCATTTTCAAATTCAAACAAAGGGTGAGGTCTGTCTTTGCCGCACTACATTGTCTCCATCCAATGCATGTGTCAGATGCATTTCAACTAACGGAGTCCAGACCTTAACGGGCATCTAGACTCCAAAAACTATTAAATTTTGTTAAACCTGCCCAATCTCCTTTTGAATGGACTCTCTCTCTCTCCCCATTTCTTCTTCTCTCTTGCTCCGAATCAACAACCCAACCTTTTAATCGGTGCCGCCGCTGCAACCTTCACCGCCACTGCAACTGATGATTGAACCACTGCTGCCACCGTCATTCTCAGAGCACAGGACAAAAATTGAACTCTCTCCCTAAATTCCACTTGTATTTGACTTTATAACTCTCTGTCGTTGAATGAAATCCATTTACTTAACAAAAAAAATCACAAATGGATCCACATAAGTCACAAGTCACAAATCACTATTGTAGCATAAATGAAGTCTCAATAGAAGCATTGATATCAAGTATCATTCATTGAGAATCGATCAAGTCTTCAAGAAATCTGTTTTAAGCCAAATACCAGTGATTAATTTTTGTTGCTTTGTGATTTACGGGTCAGCAAGATTTTGCCACCTCATGTGGCTACTATCGAATAAGATGAAGTAATTAATTTGATGGCACTTTGTGGCAATTGATATGTTAACATGAGAATGTTGTAGGATCCGGTTCACTTTTCATTTTCTCCTAGATGAAAAAGTGAGTAATAAGATGTAGCTGAAATATTTCATTTCTCAGAAAAAAAAAATGTTTGAATTGAAACGAAAATACTGATTAAAGCATGTTAGTCATCATGCTGAGTTAAAAAAAAAAATGAAAAATTTTGCTCAATCTTAAAGCTGGCCTTTTCTTTTTTCTTTTCTGGTAGATTCGTCTGCCTTGTCAGTTTAGTGATATATAATCACCTCCCCACCTTTAGGGATTTGAATTTACTTCTATTTGCTCAATGGAATCCTACTTGTCATCAAAGAATTGGAATGAATGTTCTTGCAACATTGAATCCACACCATGTATTGATAAAAGAAACAATTGAAACTGAGTTGCAACAATAGAGATTCAATCTTCAGGGCTGTTTTTGTTTGAAGTTACAAGGTTATGGATACAAAATGAATATGGCATCCATACATGATTTCCCTTCTTGATTCATCAAAAATGAAAAAGAAAAAAAAAAAAAAACACTACTCTACAATCAACCTGTTATCATTTTTCATTCCTTTTTTCCCCTCTATTTACACATGGCACAAATACCTCCAACACATCTCCCCTCTCCCAATACAATAACATAAATCAAAGAAAGTCCTCCTAAACGTGTTTTTTCCCCAATATGAATGAGTATATATGCAGTTTTTTTCTCTTAAATACACTAACCTATAAACAATATATATTAATATTCAACAACTTCAACTATAAATTAAAAAAAAATAATTTTTAAAATTAGTATTTCATGAACAATGGAATAAATAATTTATCAAATTTACATATATACCAAAAAATGATTTTTAATTTCAAGAAATTTATACAAATAAAATTATCATTAATAGAATAATTATTTTAATACTTAAAATTTATAAATTTGCACATTATATGTATATTCATTTTTCTTATAAATTATGAATTAATATTTTAATTTTCATTAAATAATATATTTACTATTTAAAAAATAAAAATATTATTTAGAAAATATTTGAGAATATAACATAAATTGAATTGGTCAATTCTACTAATCTACATTTATATAAAAATAAAATAATTTTATATTTTAAAAATTTTATAAAATAAAAATTTTAATAATAGAATAATTATTTTAGTAATTAAAATTTATGAATTTTCATAGATTTGATATATCTTCAAAATTTTAATAGATTTGATATACTTTAAGTTTAAATTTTATATTTTTTTATAAATTATAAATTATTACTTTATATTTTATAATAACATATTTATTTTTTAAAAAATGAAAATATTGTTTAACAAACATTTGAGAATTGATTTTTTTGTTAATGTTAAAAAGTAAAAATAATAAAATAGAAATATTGATATAGTAATTCAAATAGAATAGTTGTATATATTTTGTATCTTAGACTTTAACATAAAATAAAATAATAATGGCTTTGTGCATGTATTAATTTTTAAGAATCTATATAATATCTTAGATTCTTGATTGATGTATTAAAATTGCATAATATTTAGTATCTCGCTATATTAATTGTAAAATATTTCTTCATATATACCATTAAAATATAAAACCTCTATATATTTATATATTATTTATAATTATTTTGACATTAAACTTAATATTATTAATATATTTATAAAAATGTCTATCTATTATCCGTATTTATATCCAAATTATCCGATAACGATACTGCTCTTGCTACTCCTCTCAAACACCTCTCAAACAACTACATTATTTCGTGCTTAATCCCTAACCCTAACTCTTATACGAACGAACATGGGGGATGAGAGCAAAAGCAGTACCATCTCTCTATGGTGGAGACAAGAAGCATGTTATCCTTGGCATCACCGTCGTAAGCGTCACCTTCGGTATGCCATGGTTTTTCAGGAACGGAGAAACAAAGCTTCAGTCTATCTTCAAGAGAAAATCCCACCGGTGGACACGGCCACAGGGGAGTATGGGTTCATTGTCCTTGCTCAAGACACGATGGATTCGAATTCGATCCGTTAATGTATAAATCCGATCGGATTTCAGATCGAACTATAGGATGTTGCAGATTTCTAATAGAATCGAAATCGGAGGAAGGTAAATCCGATCCGAGTCCGATCCGATTACAGCCTATCACTTTTTCGGAGGCTATCATTGGAAATCTGTCTTCCGCGTAACGACGGTTCGGACTTTCCTTTTACTTGGCACCCTTGAATTCTTTTAAAATCTGTCACTCTCAAATCCTTTTTCCAGATAACGACGGTTCGGAACCTTTCTTTTCTTGGCTCCCATGCTTTACTCTCTACGTTCCTCTTTCTGATTCTCTCTCCGTTTACGTGTTCGCCGGTTCTCTCAATGCTTTGATTGAAGGAGTCTTGAGTCTCTTCTCTTGTTCTGGAGAGAGACCCGCAAGTACTCTNCCCCCCCCCCAAAACCAAAGTTTCTGCAACGATCAACAAGTTTTCTTGTTTTAATGGTTAATACCAAAAACTCATGGACTGTTAGACAAATCCTTAATTTACAATACAGGGCTAGCCATGAATTGCTGAAAGCAGGTTTACCATTGAACCCAGAAAAAAAATTCCTAATTTACAAGGCAGGGTTACCATGGGTTGTACTTGAATCTTGAATATCCTTGATTGATGAATGTTTTAGCCGTTTGAGACCATCTTAATCCATCATAATAGCGAACGTCCTCGATCCATGGCTTTTCATTTTTGAGTCGTCCTAATGGATGAAACAGTGCCAGGAAAAACATGGGTGCTGGTTCGGATTGGTTGTTCTCTCCCATCAATGAGAAAACTTCCAGCGCGAACCCGAGCCCGTTCACATTGAGTTATGTACTTGTGTTTTTGCCATGTTTTTGCTAAGCCACAACTAGAAATTAGAAATACACAAGTGGGTTCATGGGTCGGGCCAAGGATCACCCATTTCTCCTATTTCTTCAGTTATTTCTTTAAGTAGTTTATATCCAAACTTTGGTTTCTGTTGATATTCATTCACATGACGATATTTTCGACATGACCATTTCACTACTATCACATAATACTAATTTCTTGAATGGCTAATGCAGGTTTTGATTTTATTTTTGGTGGGCTTTCCAAAAAAGTTGATTTTTGGTGGGAGATTCAAAACTACAAAGTGAGAAAGAGAGAGACAACACTCAAAATGATTCATCACATTTCTCATTTCCTGGTTTTTTTAGTACTGGTATCTCTTTCACCACACTGCCAGTCATGGGGTTGGTTCTCTTCTTCCACAACAACAACCCATCAGAATAATTACCCTTCAAAGATAGTGTCAGCCTCTGAATTCTCCATGGAGATTCTAAATGATAGAAAGGGAATTAAGTTGATTGAAAATGCAAGAAGCAAGTTGGTCAGTACTAATTCATGTTGGCAAAATGCTTATCGGAATCTCTTTGCTGGGTGCTCAGAAATTATTGCAGATAAAGAAAAGCAATCTAGACTTGCTTGGCATCTCAGTGATTGCTTCCAAAAGGATTCTGGAAGATTACCTTTCCCGTCCTGTGGTACTGGTACTCCCATGGTGAAATGCCTCAAGAATTTGGATGAGTTCACGCATAAAATTTACCTTGAATTCTTCCTTGAAACCAATTCTATCTGCCATCAGTTACAGTAAGTCATCTCTACCATGCTCTTTTTATCATGTTTTTCCATATGGGGTGCAATAAATCTAGCCAAACTATTGGGCAACTGGCCACAAAGGCTAGTAAGTTTCAGGCTATAAACAAACCTTGAGTACAGTGTCAGCAACTTTGGACATTTGGCTACCTAAGAGTTTATTTCTTGAAAATCATGCTTGGTCTTGGGCTCTTTTCAGGGGTGAATTCTAGTCCATTTCTACTTTACTTTTCTATGCAATCACATCTTCTAACCACTAATTGAATTTTGATTCTATTGTTCAAGGGCTGATGCATTCAAGCAAGAAACTGAGAGACTGGTTAATGATTTAAAGAGGTCTGCTGAAGTAGCAGAAGGCAAATTAGAAATTATAGAAGATATATCAGAGCAACTATTACAGAATTCAAACCAAATCCATGATTCATTAACTTCAATTGATACAAAAACCCAACAAGTAGTGCAGAAGTCAAAGGATGTTGAAGGTCAGATTGATGCTGTACTTAATCATTCAATAGCAATTTTTGAGCAATCGAAAGGAATTGCAGCTTCCCAATCAGAACTACAAGAAGGACAGGAAAAAATGAAGGATATATTGGAGGGAGGGATGGCAATGCTTCATGAATCTTACCAGAGTTTGGGTCAAGAAGTAGAGAAGCTGAGAAGTGAGACTGTAGAGATAGAGAGGGAGATAAATAAAGTCGGGGATTCAATGTCCTTGAAGATGAAGAATCTTCAAGACAAAGCTGATGATATCGGGGATATTGCAGGTTTATCATTGGATAAGCAAAAGCAACTTCTTGATGGACAGTTTGTAGCTCTTGAAGGCCTAGATTTCCTTACCAAATTTCAATCTCAAGCACTAGAAGAAAGCAGGTAATAAATAGGCCCAACTCCTTATTTCTGTTTATATAATCACAAAAATCTATGAACTTTATCTTAATTAGCCATCCACTTTGAAATTTGCAGGGCAACACTACAGAAGCTAGCTGAATTTGGTCAAAAGCAACAAGAAGAACTTCTCCAACGTCAAGAACAACTCCAACAGGCCCATGATCATCTGGTTGAAAATTCAAGATCAATATTGGAAGCTCAGGTGTGTGTGTTCTCTCAGATTAACATGGTTCTTTGATAAAATTTATTAACCATTTTGAGCTATTTGTAATGGTAAATCTCAGCTTGGTTCCTTTTTATCTACAGGAAGCTTTTGAATTGAAGCAAGCAAGCATGTTTATGGCTTTAGAGAAGCTCTTCATGCTGCACAATGCTATCTTACTTGAATCACGGTCAATTAAGACTTTCTTCTTTTACTCCTTTGCTATCTTTATCTTTTACATGCTCACTAGTGCAAAGCAAACTTATTGTGTGAGGCCAAGGATTTATCTAGGTATGATTTCTTACATATATTTTTCAAAGTACAGTTATCCATAAAACTCATTGACACTGATATTGAATGACTGGTTTTGTTCTTCAGGACTGTGTGTCACATTCTTGGTTGAACTTGTAGTAGTCAGACTTGGGGCTGATGACCTTGATCAGCAAACTTGGATTGCATCTAAAATATTAATGGCTAGATCATTGTTCCTAATGGTTGCTTCATTTCAGATACTGTACTCCATTTTCACTTACAGGTAAAATTTTGTGTATACCTTATCCTATAGTAGGATGGAGAATGATATGTCCATTGTCCTATGTACTGGCTCGGCACTGTGTGTCACATTCTTGGTTGAACTTGTAGTAGTCAGACTTGGGGCTGATGACCTTGATCAGCAAACTTGGATTGCATCTAAAATATTAATGGCTAGATCATTGTTCCTAATGGTTGCTTCATTTCAGATACTGTACTCCATTTTCACTTACAGGTAAAATTTTGTGTATACCTTATCCTATAGTAGGATGGAGAATGATATGTCCATTGTCCTATGTACTGGCTCGGGTGTGTATTTATTTATCCCATGTAATCAGTTGGATCTATTTCTGATGGGGATGGCGTTTAAATTTGCAGGGACTATGAAGTGTTAAATCATCAGTTGCTTTTGAAACTCATGGAAAAGATTAACAACATTGAAAGAAACAAATTATTTTCCTTGGAGGACACAGAGAGTGATGTGAACTTATCTTCATGGGTTGATACAGAATTACCAGAAGATGTTGATAATTGTGAAGACCCTGATTATATATTTCCAGAAGAAGTTGGAGAGAATTCGGTTATGACCACTTCAATTACAAGAAAGTATGATCTCCGGCCTCGCCGTCGAAGGGGCATTTAGTTATTTCTCTCTTTTTGGAAGAAGATTAAGCTTTTGAGTGATTTTTTAGCTGTTAAATAATGAAAAAATTAGTTATTCTTGATGTATTACTTCCTTTATGTAGTAAAAAAATGAAAGAATAATGAGGAATTTCACTAGAATCATGGACTGTTGAATGCTATACTATATGGCATGGTTTTAAAAGGTGTCCGAGGTGAGGCAGCCAAAAATCGCCTAGCCTTGGTAGCCTCTTCAAGATATTGCAGGGTGACAGCCTCAGTTTCAGTGAGGCATTAAATCATTGAGGTGGTAGCCTCGAATACTCCGGATATAAGGGTGTAAATTCCAATTTCTAACAGGGGTAAATATGTAAAAAGATGAAAAAGCATTAGGGACTTAGGGTGGGAATCAGACATATTGGGGTTTTCCCTCCTTTCTTCTTCCTAGTTCGAACTGAGAAGTGAGAACTGCAAAAGAACCACTCCAGTGCTCTCCTCAACTGCTCAATCCCCATCGAAACAGCGATCAAGGTGAGTTTTCCTTTTTTTTTTCTTTCTTCTTTGACGAATAAAAAGAAACTTTTATTACTAAGATAAGACCTTACAAGCATCATCCCTTAGAGAGGCACGGGATGCTACCTCTCTATAAAAAGCAAAGAAAAATTACAACTGAGCCCAAAACAAATTATCCCTATTCACCCCTTGCTTAGCCAATGCATCCACCATCCCATTTTCTGATCTCCTCACCCATTGTATCCTGAGATTCATGTTTCTAGTGAGCCACTTAAACTTGGGATGGGGCCATTGTATTCCTTGTATTCCTTGTACTGCTGCAAGGAACTCTGCTTTGAGAGAGTGACCCAAACCCATGGGATGGGGCCTGAGAATGGAGCTACAGTTTGACCTTCTAAATCTCTCAATACCCCTCCAATACCTGAGGGGCCTGTATTACCTTGACTGCTCCCATCAAAGTTCAGTTTCACAAAACCTTCAGTTGGAGGTATCTAATGCATGTCCACACTTTCCTTTCTAGAGGAGCTTTTGGCAATTGCTTCCCAGTTCCTCCAGACATCACCAAAGGAGAATTGGGAGAACAATTCTAGAGTCTTTATCCAATGGATTACCCTTACCATTACACAATCCCTCTCTGTATCTTTTTTTTTTTTTTTTTTTTTGTAGTTTTCTTGTGGTTCTTGCTTGTCTACCGCATAGGTAACTCCAAGGTTTGAGTTTCTATCTATTTGAAATAGAAACCCAAACCAAGTCTGTAACAGACTAACAGTCGACTAACCAAATTATCAATGACCAAGGTAAGTTCTTATTCTTATTTCTTAAATCATAATTTTCTATGGTTAATTTGCTTCAGTTAATTGGTTCCTTAGTTTTACATAATTATAAAAGTTTAAAAATTAAAATTGTGGCTATGGTTATTTTGAATGCTTTTTTATACCATGTTTTGATCTTTAATTAGGCTTGAAGCCTTGAAACTGGAATTTTAGTTGAAATTTTGGTAATTTTTTTATTAATTTGGGAATTGGAGAACTTGCTTATACTAATAGGAACAAATTCTGGTTAGATTTTCATAACAGTCGACTAACCAAATTATCAATGACCAAGGTAAGTTCTTCTTATTCTTATTTCTTAAAACATAATTTTCTATGGTTAATTTGCTTCAGTTAATTGGTTCCTTTAACTGGATGAACATGTTTGCTATGCCTTGCTTGCTAGTTGGTGCTTTTAATGAAAGTGTGTCTACAAATTTAAAATTTTAAATGTTTTGCCTAGTTCTTATGGTAGAAAATCTACTAATTATAGGAAATACACTTCTATTGTAATTTTTTTGTAGGAATTTGCAATTTTGGAACTTCAAGGATTCATATTTTGTAAATTGGCTATTGGATTGTGTCAGGTGTGTTCTTGATCCCATCATTTCATAAGAGTAATCTTGGAAAAATTTGAGCACACAATTAACGGTTATTGGAATATTATACATTAAATAAGTCACACATAATTTCCATTGGCTAATTCTGCCCTACGAACACAACATTTCTTCTAGGTGAAGACAAAGAAAAGCTCTCATTTTCATGGAAATTTCACTTCTTTGTGTTATAAGATCTATTTCTTATTCAATGTTTCTATTTGAAATTCATTTCTGCAGTTCATATTTTCAGTTTTTATCTATTTTGTCGTTCCAAATAAGATTCTACAGCTGTTCGTATGATCTGGGTAGTTATCAGGTCTAGTCCACTGTATCACTACACTCCCCCTCAAGTTGGGAATAGATGGTTGATCATTCCCAACTTTTCTCATACGCAATCCCTAGTTCCTCAAGAAGAGATCTCAGCCATAACACTTCAGCCACACCATGAGCCATGGACCTGTATTATCAACACATCCGGCCCAATCAGCATCAATATACACCTCGATTTTCATATGACCATTGTTTTTAAAGAGTATACCATGACCTAGACATCTCTTCAAGTAAGCAAGGATTCTTTCCACAACCAATAGATGAGTGGTTCTAGGAGAATGCATGTATTTGCTAACAACACTAACAACATAGGAGATGTCAGGACAAGTAAGACATGGATAAAGGAGCTTTCTGACTAATTGTTGGTACATGTCTTTCTCTTCAAGAGGCTCACCTCCTTTGGCACTTATCTTATGATTCAATTGAATGGGTGTGTCTACTGGTTTAACTCCTAGTTTCTCAGTGTCCTCAAGGAGATCAAGGACATATTTCCTCTTTGAAATGAAGATACCATGTCTAGAGCGGGCCACTTCAATTCCCAAGAAATATCACAGGTCACCAAGGTCTTTCACTTCAAATTCCTTATTAAGCAATTGTTTGAGAGAATCAATCTCATCAGCATCACAATCGGTCACAACAATGTCGTCAGCATACACTGCAAGAAGGGTGAGAGAAGCACCATTTCTCTTAATGAAGAGAGTGTGATCGGAGTGGGCCTGTACATAACCAAAACTTTCATGAGTCAATCTAAATCTGTCAAACCAGGCTCTTGGAGATTGTTTTAAACCATATAGGGCCTTTTGCAATTTGCAAACTTTCTTCCCTATAGCTTCATCAACTCTAGTGTTATTCATCTTAGCAAACTTTCTTTCCCTATACCCCTTTGCAACTAGCCGAGCTTTATACCTTTCAACTGAGCCATCTGCATTATGCTTCACAGTGAACACCCATCTACACCCAATTGGTTTCTTCCCTTCTGGCTTGTCAATTATCTCCCGGGTCTTATTTTTAACGAGAGTACCCATCTCTTCCTCCATTGCATTCTTCCACTCAGGTACCACAAGAGCTTCTTGGATAGACCTAGGAATAGATATAGCAAAGATAATGCACCGACGCTTACCCTCCGCAAGGGATTAGAAGGTGAGAGTGATGTATCAATAGGCAAGGAGGGAGAAGTACTTGAATCTGGAACTGCTGCGGAGAGAGGAACTAGCTTGGACTGATTATGAGCACCAAAATCAACCTGCCTCCACCTCCTGTGGTAAACTCTCAACTCCTTACACCTCTGACAAGGATCCTCATTACACAATTCTCCTTCAAGAATAGGAATAGGCAGAGGAACTTCAAGACAAGGACTATCCCTCTCACTATTCTCTTCCTGAGAAGAAGCACGAGGATCATAGCAGCAATACCCCTTTTGATTCTGTGCATAACCAAGGAATATACATTTAGCAGCCTTAGGATCAAACTTAGAACGATAATGTCCCAAAATTCGAACAAATCTTTCCCATGATGCAATAATGAAAAAGGAGCTTTCATATCCAGAACACGGGAAGAGACTCGATTGATAAGATACACAGTTGTATTAATAGCATCCCCCCAAAAACGAATGGGAACATTAGAATTCAGCATAATGCTTCTTGCAACTTCCAGGATATGCCTATTTTTTCTCTCAACCACCCCATTTTGTTGAGGTGTATGAGGACAACCCCATACTCAAGAAATAAGGTGGGAACCTCATCTAGAGAACGCATAAGATAAACCCATGAGAAATGGGAGTAATCATCAACAAACAGTAAGAAATACTTACCCTCCCCCCCGGTACCAGAAATATGATATGGCCCCCACACATCAGTATGGAGGATCTACAATGTTTTGCAAGCTCACAATTCCCACACTTCAAAAAAGACATTTGAACTGACTTAAACAAAGTAGGAAACAAGTTTTTTAAATACCCAAAAGATAAATGACCTAAACGATTATGCCAAAGCATAATCTTACTCATAGACTGAGAAACAAAATACTTAGCAGGTCTTCTATCACTTCCAGGTGGGTACTCGGTCAAGTAGATTCCATTCATCTCATGGCCAGTCCCAATGACCTTCCTTATCACCAGATCTTGGAAAATACGATGGTCAAGAAAGAAGATTATTGAGCAATTTTGGCTTCTTGTAAGACTACTCACTGAAAGTAAATTAGTGCTAAGCTTAGGTACATGCAAAACTGAGGACAAGGTAATGGCATCAGAGACTCTGATGTTTCCCTTGCCAGAAATAGGAACAAGGGAGCTATCAGCTATGGATATTTTGTTAAGGCCTCCAAAGAAGTAGACCAAGGTCCCAGAAGGGAAGAACCATCTGATGTAACAGCTGCATTTGCATTTCCCTTCTTATTCCTGAGTCTTTCTAGTACAAGATTGGGATGAAACTTCCAGCAAGTGTCTTTTGTGCCGCCTAGGTTTTTTGCAATACTCACAAAATACACCTTTCTTTCCTTCATTTTTCATCTCTTTCTCCCTCTCACCACTATACTTATGTCTTGCAATTTCTAATGCTACCTCCATTTGAGAATTTTGTTGCATAACCTTCCTCCTACTCTCTTCACTGTGTACTAGGGAGTAGGCTTGAGACAAGGTAACATTTTCCCTAGTGAGAAGCTGTTGTCTAATAATGTCAAAATCAGAATTCAGACCTGCAAGAAACTCAAAAGCTCTATTTCTCTCAATCAACTCATTATAAGTTGCTGCATCCTTATTACTCTCCCACTCTATTGTTATTGTTTCAAGGTGATCTATTTCATGCCATAAGGATTTCAGAGAAGTAAATCGATAGAGGTTTCTCCCCTACTTCAGATTGTTCACTTCAGAAGTAGAGGAAGGTGATCTATCTCGTGCCATAAGTCTCTTTAATATTATCCCAAATATCCTTGGCTGTCTTTGCTCAAAGGTAATTTCTGCTAATATGGGGCTGCATCGAGTTGCACAACCATGCTATCACAATGTTACAGACTGTATAATTAAAATAGGAAGTAAATACTAGGGAGATATGATTTACCTTGATTGTAGGACTGATTTGTAGGAATTTGATTAGTCTTCTTTCCTAACATATTCTTTCCTAACATAGAATTTGTAACTTGTATATATACATACGAGATTGATGAATAATATAACAAATTCTTCTTCCTCTGTTTACTCTTACATTACATGGTATTAGAGCATCTGGTCTCTGCCTGCCCTTTCGTTTTTTTCCTAAGTAAACAGTAGGTAGAGGAAAACTTTTGGGTATTTTGGGTCACGTCCTTGGAGCAGTTTTTTTTCTTTTTTACTCTCACCGCCCATCCAAGAAGAAGTGCCGCCCGCCGATCAGAGGTTCTGCAAAGTTCGGTAGTCAGCAGCACTGCGCGTGCGTCTCACGCGCCGCCTGAAGATTCTGCCACAGCCACACGCGCCAGCGCGTGAAGGCGCGTTTGTCGCCGAAAAAAAAAATTTTTCGGTCGTTGTCTTTTGGCTCGCCTCGTCCTGTATAGCACATATTTGTGCTTTGTTACGTGCATATCCATTCCGGTGTGACTTTTGTTTTCAACAGGTGTGCTCCGTTGATTTTTGGTGTTCAAAATATTCTGTTTATTTGAATTTTGAGATTATGGCAGACAAGAAATCAGTAGTTATGTTGGATGTTGTTCCGATGATGTCAAAAATAACTGAGCATAAGCTTAATGGCTCTAATTATCTGGATTGGAGTAAAACTGTTCAACTATATTTACTGAGTATTGCTATGGCTAACCATTTGACTGATGACCCTCCTAGTGATGACTCGAGAAAGTCTTGGTTGAGGGAGGATGCTCGTTTGTTCTTGCAGATACGTAACTCCATTGAAAGTGAGGTGGTTGGTTTAGCCACTCACTGTGGATTTGTTAAAGAATTAATGAACTATCTAGAGTTCTTGTACTCTGGAAAGGGGAATATTTCCCACATTTATGATGTCTGCAAAGCCTTTTATAGGGCGGACAAAGACGATAGATCTCTTACAAGCTATTTCATGGATTTCAAGAAAACATATGAAGAACTTAATATGTTTCTTCCGTTTAGTACTGATGTGACTGTCCAACAAGCTCAGCGAGAAAAGATGGCTGTCCAGTTCAGAGATCTCTTCTCTACAAGATGCTTTCAGTAGGGTCCTTCGTACAGAAAGTTCTCCACCTGTTCAGCCTAGCAGTGCCCTTGTCAGCCGCAATAATAAATCTGAATCAGGGAGACAACAATACAGTAGTGGTAGTGGTAGTAAAGGGATAGGATCCAGCAATTATGACAAGTCAGGTAACTATGACAGGAATACTAATACTCGTGGACAGGAGTTAGGAGAGATAGTGTGTCATTACTGTCATAAGCCAGGACATATGAAGCGGGATTGYAGGAAGTTGCAGAATAAGAAAACTCAGTCTGCCCATATTGCATCCACCACAGATACTTCTGAGAAGTCTGTCATGATATCTACAAATGAATATGCCAAATTTGCTCAGTACCAAGAATCATTGAAACCTCAATCTACTCCTGTTACTACCATCGTCGAGTCAGGTAAACCTAATACATGTCTTGTTTCCTCCTCTTCAAAATGGGTCATTGATTCTGGAGCTACAAATCATATGACAGGTAATTCAAGTCTGTCTTCTACCTTTCAGTCTCATAAATCTACCTCTCCTATTACTTTAGCAGATGGGTCAACATCTTGTGTTATTGGGTCTGGCACAATTAGTCCAACACCATCACTTCCTTTGTCATCTGTTCTTAGTTTACCTCAGTTATCATTTAATTTAATTTCTGTTAGCAAACTCACTCRTACCCTTAATTRTTGTGTCTCATTTTTTCCTRATTATTGTTTATTTCAGGATCTTACGACGAAGAAGATTATTGGTAARGGAYATGAGTCTGGAGGTCTCTACATCCTTGATACACAAGTTCCAAGATCCATAGCTTGTTCTGGAGTTGTAACCCCTTTTGAAGCACATTGTCGATTGGGCCACCCCTCTCTCCATGTGTTAAAGCAAATTTGTCCTCAATTTCAGAGTTTGTCGTCATTAAATTGTGAGTCTTGTYAGTTTGCTAAACACCATCGTCTTAGTTCGAGTCCTAGAGTMAATAAACGAGCTAGTGCTCCTTTTGAGTTAGTCCATTCAGATGTTTGGGGTCCGTGTCCAGTTGAGTCCAAAACTGGGTTTAAGTATTTTATTACTTTTGTTGATGATTACTCTCGTATGACATAGTTATATTTAATGAAAAATCGTTCTGAGGTGTTTTCTCATTTTTCTACCTTCTGTGCTGAAGTTAAAACTCAATTTAATGTTTCTGTACAAATATTGAGAAGTGATAATGCTAAGGAGTACTTATTAGAATCCTTTCAAACTTACATGCTTCAGCATGGCATTCTTCATCAATCTTCTTGTGTAGATACACCATCTCAAAATGGGGTTGCTGAACGGAAAAATAGACACCTCCTGGAAACTGCAAGAGCTTTGTTATTTCAAATGACGGTTCCTAAACCTTTCTGGGCTGATGCAGTTTCCACAGCATGTTTCTTGATTAACCATATGTCTTCGTTTGTCCTTCAGGGTAAGACTCCTTATCAYGTTCTGTTTCCAAATAAAACACTGTTTCCTATTGAGCCTAGGGTATTTGGGTGTACATGCTTTGTTCGGGATGTTCGTCCTCAGGTTACCAAACTAGATTCAAAATCTTTGAAATGTGTTTTTCTTGGGAATTCTCGTGTTCAAAAAGGGTATAGATGTTATTGTCCTACTCTTCACAGATATCTTGTGTCAGCTGATGTTAATTTTCTAGAAGATACATCTTTCTTTCCATCTACTCCTCATTCAAGTCAGGGGGAGGATGATGATTTGTTAATCTATATTGTCACATCATCTGTTTCACATCCTATTGAATCTGCTCCTGCTAGGCCTAAGCCACCTATAGTACAGGTTTATTCTTGGCGACCAACCCCTCCGGATCCATGTCCTGCACCAGCTCCTTCGTCGTCGGATCCAGTCTCAAATGATCCTGTTTCTTCGTCATCAGAACCAATCTCTAATGATAATCTTCCTATTGCTCTTCGTAAAGGTAAGCGTAAGTGTACTTATCCAGTGTCTTCATTTGTGTCTTATAATCATTTGTCATCCTCTTCTTGTTCTTTTATTGCATCTCTTGATT